GAAAGAAAGAAAGAAAGAAAGAAAGAAAGAAAGAAAGAAAGAAAGAAGAAGAGTCCATTAAGCTCCTGGACAATCAAATGAGGAAGATTCTTTTAAAAAGTATTCTTCTAATCCCCTCCACCTTCCTGTATTTGGCTTTACGAAGGTTCTCACATTCAAAACAACTAAAACAAATCAGAAAGGTGTTACAACACTTAAGCATATTATTTAATCTATGCTCCTTTGCAGTAAGGGTTAAATGAGTTTATTACTTTAATTAAATGTCATATTGAAACTAATGACTTGTTAATGATTAAGAAGTAATATTGGTATTTTAGCTTTGGTGGTTTGCAGTGCATCCAAAAGAAAAGTCAGGTGATGGCCTTTAGGAGAACAAATTTATGTTTATTCTCTCCAAATTTTCTATTCTATTATAATTAATATATTAATAATAATGATATAATTCATTACCATCATTGTTGTTGCTGCTATGAAGATTTTAAAATACGATTGGATAATATCATGATCGATGCTCTCATTTCAAACGGTCAGTGACATGTTTGACCTATGACCTTTCAGATAACCTATTTGTACCATATTGGACTGTATGATAAAATAATTACATTATATGACATTATTGACATTATCTTTTCTGGTTTTAGGAAATCTGTAAACACACAGTTGCTCACACACCCAACAGTGATCTCTTGAACGATCGGGAATTTACTCCTTCTCTCCCCTCTCTCTTTTGCTGTGTACTGACTCAGTCAGCGTGTCTTCGGCTGATCAATCCTGCACAGTTAGGTTATAAACCTGACCATCGGTCATTTGATTCTGTCACTAAAGGTCATCCTTTTAAAATTGTAACATTATTAAAAATTATCACCGCTAGAGAAATGTGACTTTATACTGACAAGGAAAATCTGTGCACTCTTTTTTTCTTCCTAAAATCTGACCCTATCTCATTTCAAATAATTCATTAATAGGGAGCTTAAGCCTATCTCATTTCAAATAATTCATTAATAAGGAGCTTAAGCTTAAGGTTGACAGTCTCTTCACTTTATGGGATTTTATGTGTGGTTAATTAAAAAACATTTGAATACACATGATTTGAAATCTTTACACGGCTGCTGGGATTTGGGAACAATCGGTGGCTCTGACCAACAAATCTAAGTCACAATATCTTGCTTTTGTGATGGGTTAAGTCACCTTAAAATAATTTTTTTCTGTGACGACCAGACTGGCAATGTTCAAATCAGGCTGTCAAAAAAAAGTTAAAAGCAGATTAAGTCAAATAAAACCGTCTCACATTGCTTTGGTGTGACTTAACTGAACCGAGACTATTCAGAGACTGAAACTAAGCAGAATATTTAAGAATAAGCATAAAACGAAACCCCTGTATTTTCCACAGGCCAACATCAGTCCCAATATTACATACAACTACAAGTATGAATAAAGAAAATGCTCAGCCTCTCGCACAGAAAATACGAGCAGCCATTCGCAAACCATCTTATTAAAGGATCATGGAAATACAGTACAGTAAAGATACTGTTACGCACCAATAAGCCAGCAGCCGCAGGTCATCGTGTACGAGAGCTTTTGCTGACAGAATACAACCAAGAAACTGAAGAAAGCTGAAACATTTGACTATCAGGCAAGCAACTGTTCTGCACTTTAAAAAAAACAATTTTCCATTGTGAATGCTTTTCCTGTCTTTACTAAACTAATATCATCAGGTTTGTGGCATCTCACATAGCCACTGAAATGTACAGTTTACAGACAAATGAAACTGAACAGGGTAAAAGTCACATGCCCTCTCACAGAATAATAATTTAGAAAAGACAGTCCGAGCCAGTGATCTTGACACAGTCGTGGGTCTGTGTTCGTTTTACATGAAGCAGCGACAAAGAACCCGAAGGAAGTCCTGGACTTCACGAGTCTTTTTACCCGGCTGCTCTCACTCGTCCATGCAAACTGAGTCTAATGTAAATTACCCTGCCAAACTTTAAGCTAAATGGTAAAATGATCCTGAGTCCATGTCACCTTCACTCATGTCATTGGCTTGCTGGAGTGTGCCTCGGTTGTCTGGGTTGCAGGCTGGTTCCCATTACACCCCTACTTCCACCGGCCTGCACAGACGGCCATTTTTGTATGCTGAGGTCAAGTCAAAAAGGATGAAGGAACAAAATAAAAACAGAGTGACACAATATCTGCAGGCGCTCAAATCTCACCTGAATGTCAGTTCTGTATACAGCAGATCGTTTCTTTGCCCGCCCTGCAGAGTCTGAAACATCGACACGTGTAGACCAGCAAAACGTTGCCGTCTAGAAACAAATTTCCTGCTCAAGTGGAGCAAACTGCAGCTTTTTAAAAGTTCAAACCACACCATCATCACGTCACAGGGGGAAGACATCAGACAACACCAGGAATAGTCCTGTTAGAACAAGGCCTGCGTTTCAAGCCACAGAGAAGTGACTGACTTTGACTTATTGGTGCAGTTAAACTGTAGTCTAACTCCAAATGTTGCAAAGAGTTGACACCACGGAGTGTAAAAAAAAGCTCTCAAATAATGGATTTTCTCACTGTGAGCACGCTTTTCCAAACAGATGAGGCCAGCAACGCCGAGCCAAAGGTCATTCCTCTCAGACACCGACAGAATACATGGACACATCAAAAGAGGAAGTCTCTGGAGGATAACAAAAACATGTAGGTGGCTCCATGCAGACAGTGGAGTGACTGATGGAGGTGTTTCTAGAGGCCTCCTTTTTTTTAAATCCTGAAGTCCTCCTACAGTCTGAAAGCTGTTTAGGAGTTCTGAGGTTCATATCATTTCATTGAATGTTTTTCCAGCTGTTATAATTTTTCATTGTAAACCTTATTTTGGCAATATAGTTTTCATTGTCATTTTGACTTTGAATTTTGACAATTATTGTTGACAGTTTAGTTATTTTTCATTATCTTTTTTCCAAATAAAAAAGTCAAATTCGTTTAATGTTCGCATAGCAAAAAAATCAAAAGCAAAATATATGTGTATTTACTTTTATTCTATTCTTTCCATTTACTTTTTGGCACCTCGTTTTGACCATTTTGGCAGATTGAAGGCTGCTCTGTAGATTTCACGGCGCACCAGGATAGGCGGCTTGTAAACAATAGCTCCGTGTTGACTGTAACGCATGTGAATGTTGTTAAAAAACCATTTCTGTTTTTCATCCGGTCTCGGTTCTATAACTGACAGAGTCAGAAAGCCATCACAGCACCTTGGACTGAAGGGATCAGATCGCAAATTACAACAGCACAACAAATCACAGACAATTGGAAACTACCACCGCCAATGCGCAAAATACCGTTTGGATAAAAGAAAATGAGCAACGACGTAAAATACCCGGGGATCTTACAACAAAACGCAGCAGGAATCATTTATCTTTTTTTTTCCTCTTCTGCAAGTAAGTATTTGACTGCTGCCTTCAATTTATGTCCAGTCAGTCAGGGGAGCAGGAGTCAGTAAAAGCCTTCAATCAGTGATAATCGCGATGAAACTGCTTCCAAATAAGATAGACCTTCAAGGTGCGCAAATTAAGCTTATGATAATAATAATTGAACTGATATCATATCTCTGTGAAATGATACTGCAGAAATACGCGATTAAAAAAGGGAACCCTTCCTTTTCCAAAGATTATCTGTGAGTAAAGTCCGAGGCAGAAGGGAGATAAAAGCAAACCAAAAAGTTTGACATCTGAATGGTATTAATGGCAGAGCTCCTCTCTGTGTAGCACTGAGATGTTTTTTCCTGCCTTTTTCTCGGAGGAAAATCGTCATTTTAGCCTGTAGACATGCACTGACATAATCACATTTTGCCATCCTGGCTTTGATGATTTAATAGCAAGGATTTTGAATTTAAACTGACTCCACATAAGAGCCGAGTTTAAAATAAAATTCGCAATAAATGTGCTGCAAACAAATATTTTCCTACCGATGCAAAAACAAAACAAAACAAAACAACTAATGAATAAATATGGCAATGTGATTTTTTTTTAATCCTAATTTCTATTTTAATCATTACAATTATTATTACTACTATTATGTCATGGTCAGCGAAAGGTGCAGCACGTTCAATTTCCCTAATAATTGCGGCCTGTTTACAGAGTATACACTTTTATTTAATCTCGATTTACCGGATCTATGTCAAGGTTAATAGGCAATAAAAACTTAACAGGCATTTTAAAAGGACCATATGAGCTTTTGAGGAGGCTGATCTCGGCTCTTGACGTTATGGAGCCATAAAGCGGTTTCCAGAAGGCCAAACTGTCAAAACATCATTAAACTATTCTTCAAATTCTGCGTAATTCTGATGGACGGGCAGCTCGTGGAACCCCAGAAAAAAGGGAAGGATAGCTTCAAGCGTCAAAGCTGAGGATTGCATGAACATGTCAGCTTTGATGTAACTTTACATTATATTTTTTGTTTCTTCGCTGTTTTGTGATTTATTAGATTTATTGAGCTTACTTGATGGTGTTTTAGTAGTTGCTAGGTATTTGGCTAATCAGCAGAGGCCTTTTACGCAAGGGTTCATCAGAATCAAGACCTAAAATGGCATTATACAGGGTCGTGTTTTCATTTTGTTTTCATTCAGCAGATTATGAATAAAAGAAAATTGATAAATAATTAGTTTTGTTAAAAGATCTTTAAAAAATGAACGAACTCATTGACCCCAAACATCCAGTCCTATCAGATATGGATATGGACATGGATAGTGCTTTCAAAAACGTCTTAATGTTGTTTTGAAAGTGGCCGCCAATCTAACGAGGGTCAAAGTTTTATTCACACCCTCATCATTCACCAATTACAGCTGCCCCCCGGCGCAATTAAATCTAATTGGAACCAATCAGGCGGTGCAATGAAATGAAAATATCAGTTTGGAGTTCATTATTTGTGCCATCTGAAAACCTGTTAATTCAATTGTCTGACTCAACTCCAATATTGAGGATTGTAGTGCAGATTATCACATTAAATACGCCCTAATTTAATTCTGATGCCGAAAGGGACAATTTGATAGTCAGGAAGATTATTCATCTTCTTAACCGAGCTCCGCACACCACTGCCGGGCCGCGTCTTTGGGAGCTGGCGCGTCCCGGGGAAGTTTTAGGGATGGCAAAAAGTACGTGCAAAGTACAGGATTTCGACGGGGGTAAAAACGGCCCGGGGAAAGTGGTCTTTATCTGCCCGATAATATCAGGGATTTAAGCCCCGAGCAGGTCACCGCAGACCGCTAAATGAATCAGTTTGCGCATCTGTTCCATCTGAGATCGGATCCACCAAACCAGACCAGCCGACTTTGGACAAGAGGAGCAATGATTCGTGAATGACAGGATCAAAACACGCAAAGTTGACTGAGCTCGGAACCCCCCGGTGGACACATCGGACCGGATTACTCTCTTAAAGGATGAAAACACCTATAAGACTCAATTTCTGGTTCGTTTTTTTCCTTTATTGTCTTTTTTTGTGTGTCGTCTGTCTTCACTCACCATAGCACGGGATGAGCCCTCCGTTGTGTCCTCTCTCCTGGTGCAGCTTGTCCTCTTCGGGGGGTGTTTTGCAAGAGGACCTCTGCATGAAGAGGTGGTATTTGCTGAAAGAGCCTTGCCCAGCTGCGGCGGCATCCAATGACTGGCACTCCTGGTGGAACGGGCTCCGCGACTTTTCCCCGTAAGCCTGACCTTTGTTGGACAGGAAGGCAGTGGGACTGTATTTGGTGTCAGTCGACGAGAATGTCCTAAAGAGGTCCGTCTGGTGATCCCTACCTTGTGCAGCAGAGGGGCTATAATATGAATCCATGGATGTCATATCGCTGTATGAAACGCAAGTCTCAGCGTTCATACCTAAAAAAAAAAAAAAGAGTCAAGGGGAGAACCAGACCAAAAAAAAAAAACTTTCTCCCTCCCTCCCTATCTCTCTTTTTGGAAAAAGGAAGCGCAGGAACCCCTTCCTCTACCTCATTCAGATGAAAATACACGCACGCACCCGGAGACTGGAGCCCACACCAGACCGCAGCTGGATTTGGTTATAGAACGATTCAGATCTTTTCCAGGAACCACTGCCGTTGACCAAACACTCCAAACTCCCCCTCAGGTTTGAGGAGAGTTACACAAACCCGTCTTTCCTCAGGAGGATGGTACCCAGATCTCCAGGCTCCAGGACCTCTCCCAAGTGATTATGCTGATGACATGAACGAGTTAGGTCGCTTGTTGACTAAATAGAAAGACGAAGGGGGGAAATAAGGAGGGGGGGGGGGTTTAGATGGGAGGGGGGGCTCAACACATGACATTAATGCAATTTGGATATGAATAAAACCTATGAGTGACGGAACTGGGGCGGAGAGGGCACAATTTTACGCTTCATTCGCAATGGTTCATCAAGGGCAAATTATCCATATTCAGCCGATTGTGTTTGCATGCATCTGTGGCTCCTGAATGAAAGTTGCAAAGAGCCTTTTGATGCATTAATTATAAACTGAAACGAATTTTAGGGTTGTTAGCATCCTTATTGTCCATTTCAGTCAGAAAAAAGGAACAGAAGTGTTCCAAATAAAAGATCTGTGATTTCAGGATTTCGGAGTGTGTATTTTCAGCCTCCTTTTTAAAGTTCCATACTATAAAACAAAAACCCCTCGGTCTAAATTATTTTGATTTTTATTGTTTATTGCAATTTGTTGTTCTCTTTCCCTGTCTTAAAAATTTGGCTGTGAAAAAAATGTGCCATGGTTCAGTGGGAACAAAATTCTCTTAAGGATCAACTTGAGGTAGTGAAAACCCAAAAATAACAAGTTGTTCCCTTTTCTTCAAAGAATGAGATGAGCAGTTGAGCACTATATTGGTTTAAACACGTGAAAACGCAACACTTTAATTCGCAGATTAGTTGATGACAACACAATAATTCTCGATTTTTTTCGAGCTTTATTTAGCTATATTTGATTGTGTGTTCTGTTCTAAACGCATGTATCATTCATATTTGATCAAAATTTTATATAAGCCAGTATTCCTGTGTAATATACTTCTATTAACATTTACATCCAGGGGTCCCCAGTTCAACTCTCGGTGCCCTCCTACACTGTAAGTCGCTTTGGATAAAAACGTCTGCTAAATACATAAACATAAACATAAACATAAACATACATGTTTATTTTCTGCCGTGTTGGCCAAATAAACCTCTGAAATCATCCGCAGAACAATTTCCCCTAAACTACAGTTGTTGTTAAGTGCTTTTTGTATTTAATAAAATTGGTTTGATTCCAGTTTGAATAAGAAAATCCATTTTTTAGATACAGAGGAAAATACACTTTTTTGCATTTACTTCTCTTTTGTGAGGTCCACATGATATGACAATCACACGTGATGACCACTGACATTTAGGCCAGTAGTTCTCATAATTCTACACCATCTGTTGATTGCTATGTACTCTAAATTAGTAAATTAAATCAATGGGGCATAAAACAAGCATGTAAACTTTAATTTTCTTGAAAACGTTTCCACAGTGCACACCAGGAAATTCAAGTTTCAAATATTTACCTTTTAATTGTGTTCACAAATTGCGCATTGAGAATTTAAATAGATAAACACCTCAACTCGGAATCTGAATATTCCCTGCTGGAAAGGTTGAAGCCTTACCCAGTTTTTAAAGAACAATTTAAAAGGACAAATTCAGAGGCTCACACTTTGATGCCTGGTTTGCTGGAGGTGTTTGTTGATCCACTGTCAGGGCTCACACTGGCACTTTTTCTGATGGAAAATGGGAAAAAACTGAACATATTCACAGAGCAAAATTAGGGGGGGATAGCAGCCTCACAGCAGGAATCTATATGATGGCAGTAAAGACACAAATGTATTCACACAGTCACGCACACATGGTGGACACATGAACGCACACATGTCTGAGGGTAAAGAGAGAAAAAAAAGAAAGTAAGTGAGTGAAAGAGGAGTAGAAATCTGCTGCGGATACTTGATTGGATTCTCGATGAATGAGAGGTGTCCATATCTCTGATGACCGTGCTCTGAAAACCTGGCTCACACGTTCACCCGTGTATCTCTTCAGGGGTAAAATGACTTTACAGCAGTTTATGTTTCACCCCTCACACTCAAGCAGTTATCTTATTACCTTTCGCTCTCCCCCCATAAGTCAGTCTTCTGATTTATTGCAGTCAACCAGACTTAATGATCATTTAATCCAAATTTCAACCTGCTGGAACAGAATACTTTCTGTCTTGTTCTAAGAACAGCTCTATTATTACTTAGCCAATAAAGAAAAAAATGTTAAGATTGTACATATTTTTTTCTGATATGGATCATATTTTGAGGATTTTGTTGATTAATTTAGTTGTTGGTTGACCATATGTAGCTGTGTGTGGAATGGCTGAAAATAAAAATGGGAAATTGTGTGCTGAATTTAGTTCATGTTTGGCCTCAAACACAGTGTGATGATTTATTTAGCACAAGGAATATTCAGGTTTACATGATTTTTCTTTAGAGCAAGGCACTGTTTATTTTGTTTGTCTTTCTTTCTTTTTTTCTTTCTTTTTTTCACAAATGACACGAGTAAAATAACGTAACGGAAAGAAATTCACTCACCACATAAAAAAAATGTACTTGTCTGTTTTCTGGCACAGTGAGTGAATGATTCCCTTTGACAATAGGCCCACCCGTAGTGAATAATAGAGCATTAAACACACAAGTGTTCATGCAAGCGCTAAAAAAGGAACATAAAGTGCTGGCATCCCATTTTACCCAAAATACAAGCTGTGCCGTATTTGGAAGGGTTCAATATTCTGAGAAACTCCTTCAGAAAGAGGTCACCACCTGCATTCTCTGTGTTGATTGACAAATTTGATAAAGTCATACTTTACATCTGCTGCGTTTTAAGGACTAGAAATAAACAAGCATGGCCAGGGCTGTCTTTTTCTCATTTTCATATTCACTGTATGTTCTTTCTTGGTGTTGATTTTTCCATCATCCATGTGCTTCAGTAGAAAGACTCGGTTTATGTCAAATCAGCTCAGCTGAAAGGCCTCTCAAAACTAACTGGGAATGTTTTAATATAAAATCAATAAACATTTATTCTATTAAACTCTGCTCAGACCACACAATAGATTGGTCATGCAAATTAAAAGGAAGTGTAATTTAGCCTTATACAAAGCACATAATGCCAGACAGTTGGTGACCTCTTCTTAGGCATTTCTCATCTCCAGATCATTCCAAAACAAGACTCTGTTGACTCACGGCCATGACTAATTATTTAGGAAGCCCTGTGTAATTATGTTTTATTTGATGCATTTTCCGCCCTCTTACTGAAATATATAAAGACGCGGTCCCATGGCACAAAGAGTAAGTCTGTTATATTGTCATAGTCATTGGCCCTTATGTATGTCCTCTTTTCAAATGTCCATTTCCACTGACAAGGCTTATGATATATTTGTGAATGGGATTTTTTTTCTCAAAAAAGAAAACAAAAAACACAGGAACATGGAAAAGACACAAGCCCACATCCTTGCTGCACTGATGGCATTAAACTTTAGCCTCTCCAGTTTGATTTTGGCCTGTGGCAAAATAAGTTGATTGAGGCCTTTGATGGGCACTTAATACACCGTGGAGAGGCGGCTTTGTTTGGGAGCAGAAACTAACATAAAATGGAAAGCGGAACAGGAAGGAGAGAGGCACCACAAGCTGATCTTATTTAATTTTACATGAAAGAGAAATTCTAACTTCGACAGAGCCTGTTTAAGCACCTCAGAGGATGAAAAAAAAAAAACAGATTTCCCCGACAAACTACGGATGATAAAGCTGAGACCAAAGTGAATGTTTCTGAGACCAGCGAAATGATAAAATAAGCAGTCTGTCCCATTTTAAACATGCTTGTGGTACAGGAAAATGAAAAAGCCTGAAATAAAATACATTTTGGTCAAGTACCTGCTATAATAATGAGAGGCCCAGCCTTCTGGTAAAGCATCCGTAATTAGTCACGACCGGATTCTCCGTGTTTTACAGTAAAAATAGAATATGTTCTGCTCCAGCGGTTAATCTTCATGACATGCAAATATGTGCACACAATCTGCCTTGATCAAAGATTAGTCTTGTATCATGTTGCTGGGACAAAAGACTGCATCAGTAGTGTCTTCAATTATTTGATTTCAACAAGTTTGTCCCATTTTTTCTCTTATGATAAACAATTTCTCATACTGAAAGTTCTGGACTTTACATTTTAGTGCACTTTGTCCTGTAATCTGTGATATTTTTAAAGGATCAAATCTTTGGTGAAGTGCATCTGTTGTCTGATGAGCCAACAGCACAGATGTTGCATTTAGAATGAGGAATTTAGAATTACAGAGCAATCTTGAGAACCAATACACAAATACATTTTGATTCCATAGTTTGGGTTAATTAGATACAAACCATGAAATAAATTCAAGTTAAGTACCAATTGAGAGATTTTCACCTCAAACACATCATTTTACTTGTCACACAGGGTGCTTGGCTTCCCGCTCTAAATTTAGAAAGCATTGGGGAATATTCATCTTTCGGACAAGGAGGGGGTGAAAATGGTGAAAAATGATCACAAGACCTTTGACAAGGAGGCCCCTATTTTGGGTTCTCCGTGGAAATACTGCTCTGTGCTTCATTGAGTATTGTTATTTTCAACTTTAATTTTCAGACAGTGCTTTGTTTGGCTTAAGCATGCTGTATTTGTTTTTTAAACTTTCCTTCACGTATGTGTTTGTCCACACTCAAGAACAGAAAAGTAACACTACCGTAGAACTCAGTCTCTGCTCTGATGAAAAATAAAATAAAGTGTAATTTCCGAGCCTTTTATGTATGTTGTGGGGTTGATTGAGCGATTTAGTCTGACA